CCGTCAGGGTCGCGCTTCTGGAGCTCGGGGCTCTGCTGCTGGAGGTACTTCTGCTGACGTCACTGGAGCTGGGAGTGGTGCTGGTCCCGGAGGTGCTCGTACTGGAGGTACTGGAGCTGCTGGGGCTGGTGGTGCTGAGCCTGAGGGTACTACTGCTGGAGACCCTAGGACTGGAGGTGCCGGTTCTGGGGGTGCTGCTGCTGGTGGAGCTGGTCCTGGAGGAGCTGGAGCTGAGGGTTCTGGAGCTGCTGGAGCTGCTGAGGGTGCTGGAGCTGTTGGTGCTGGTGGCGCTGCACAGCCGCGCCTGTTCTTTGCTCCACTGTCTCCGTCGTCTCAGCCACCGTCTGACTCTGTGCTTTGCCAGGTTCTTAGTCTCCCTTCGTCTACTGGTCTTCCGTTACAGCCTGGCTCACCGCTGCCTGCTCCTTCTCCTTACACTAAGCGGACAGGGGGTCTTACTGAGCGTCGTGAGCCTGCTTCGCGTCCGGTCTCGCCTGTCAGTCCTAGTCGTTCCGGTCGTCGTGTTCCTCGGTCGCGTCAGCCGGCTGTTCCCGGCACCCACCTCGTAGTCCGTCGTCCTTCCTCTCCTCTGCAGTGTGTTCCCCTGCCGTCCCCTCCTGCGTCCTCTTTGCCTACCGTTCCTGCACCTGAGTCTGACCGCACCCGTGCTGCTCACCCTACTGTCACGCGTCTGCTAGCCACAGTTGTCACTGACCCGTCGTTTGAGTCAGCTACTGCGTCTGCCTTAGTCGCTGAGCTAGTTGACTTTGCTGCTGCCTGTCGTCTAGACTACGCCGCTAGTCTTGTTGCTGAGTCTGAGTCTGTCTGTCCTCCGTCCGTCGGGGGTGAGTGTGCTCTTGCCACGGACGTCCTTGAGGACAGGCAGGAGGACCTTGAGTGTCTTGCAGCCGCTGCGCCTCATCTCGTGTCCATGCTACTTGCCCCTGAGGGAGACCCGGATGCTCCAGACATCCCGACCCCGCGCTCTTACGCTGAGGCGATCGCGGGTGAGTACTCCTCTCAGTGGCAGACAGCCATGGACGCAGAGATGGCATCCTGGAAGTCCACAGGCACCTACGTCGACGAGGTTCCCCCTCCTGGGGCGAACGTCGTCAGTGGCATGTGGATTTTCAGGGTGAAGCGGCCGCCAGGTTCTCCGCCTGTCTTCAAGGCTCGTTACGTTGCTCGAGGCTTCAGTCAGCGGGAGGGAGTCGACTTCTTCCAGACCTTCTCCCCCACCCCGAAGATGACCACTCTTCGGGTACTGCTGCACGTTGCCGCTCAGCGTGACTACGAGCTTCACTCTCTTGACTTCAGCACAGCTTTCTTACAGGGCAGCCTGCACGAGGAGATCTGGCTGCGCCGCCCTCCTGGCTTCACTGGGTCGTTCCCTCCTGGTACCCAGTGGAGCCTCCGGCGGCCGGTCTACGGTCTCCGCCAGGCGCCACGTGAGTGGCACGACACACTGAGGACGACACTTGCTGCTCTTGGGTTTGCTCCGTCGACTGCTGACCCGTCGCTGTTTCTGCGCACCGACACTTCGCTGCCGCCGTTCTACATCCTCGTGTACGTTGACGACTTGGTCTTTGCCACTGCTGACACTGAGGCTCTCACCCTGGTGAAGTCGGAGCTGCAGAAGAGACACACGTGCACAGACCTGGGTGAGCTGCGCAGTTACCTTGGCTTGCAGATCACCCGGGACAGAGCACGCCGCACCATCACCCTGACTCAGTCACACATGGTGCAGCAGGTCCTTCAGCGCTTCGGCTTCACCTGGTCCTCGCCACAGCACACTCCTCTGGCTACATGTCACTCGCTCTCAGCTCCACCTTCGGACGAGTCCGTAGAGCCGAGTGGTCCTTACCCAGAGCTAGTGGGCTGCCTCATGTACCTGATGACCTGCACTCGTCCTGACCTTGCGTACCCTCTTGGCCTTCTGGCTCGCTACGTGGCTCCTGGTCGGCACCGAAAGGTGCACACGGATGCTGCTAAGAGGGTACTACGCTACTTGTGCAGTACATCGGGCATGGGGCTCGTGCTTGGAGGGCGGAGCCCAGTTGTCCTCACTGGGCACTCAGACGCTTCTTGGGTTGACGACCAGGCTACGCAGCGGTCGTCACAGGGTTACTCCTTCAGCCTTGGCTCTGGCTCAGTTTCTTGGCGTTCTACACGCTCGTCTTCAGTTCTCAGCTCCAGCTGTGAGGCTGAGATCTACGCCACAGCCATGGCTGCACAGGAGTTACGCTGGCTCACCTACCTGCTGACGGACCTGGGAGAGCGGCCTCGTTCTCCTCCAGTGCTGTACGTCGACAACAAGGCAGCCATTGCCTTGTGTGAGGAGCACAGACTGGAGCACAGAACGAAGCACATCGCGTTGCGTTACTTCCTGGCTCGAGAGTTGCAGCAGCGTGGTCAGCTTCGTCTTGCTTACGTGGCCACTAGGGCCAACACTGCTGATATATTCACCAAGGCACTTCCGTCTGGTGATCATCAGCGTTTCAGCACTTTGTTAGGCCTTGTGCCCACTTTTCTTCACTTGTTGTAGACGTTGCTTGTACTGTGATCTATATATATACCTGCATGCTTGCTCTTGTAGGTAGAGATCACTGTGCTGTTGTTGTTACATATATATCTGTGCATGTGAACTGGCCTTGTGGCCTGATGCTTGTGCTCAGACTGCGTGGTGACGTTGTGATCTACCCTGAGCTTGCTTTGTACTTCCCGACTGGTCTTGTGACCCTCTGTTCTCCCCCACTTTGCCTATGGGGGTGTGTCAAACATATAGTTATATGTTATAGCTTGGGTAGGCTTTAGTGGGGTACTCACTGTGGGGTACAACCCCTTGGGGTATATTTCTGTACCAAACTCTCGATAGTCAATTCGATCCTTCCCTTTTACTCTCGACAGATATATGTGATTATACCTGCATGTTTGCACTTGTTAGGTTGTGATCAATATACTGCAATTGCTTTGATAAACTCTGCATGTGAACTGGCCTTGTGGCCGCTTGTTTGTGCTCGGAATGCGTGGTGATCTTGAGATCCACCCTGAGCTTTGTTTTGCTTAGTTTCTTCTCCAAACTGGTCTTGTGACCTTTGCTTGCTCTGGCTATCCCCCACTTCGCCTATGGGGGTGTGTCAAAACATATGTATTTATCTTTCTCTAGGCTGTAGTGGGTTTAGCCTTAGGGGGTACAGTAATTCTCTCGACATTCTACTTGTACCCTCTCCCCTTTGACCTAATGCATCATTCCTTAGTATGCGATGACCCGACAATATGGGAACAGCAACTGCCACTCATCGAATTCGCACACAACAACTCCACATCAGCCACGACGCAGCAATCACCGTTCTATCTCAACTACGGACAAAACCCCATAGTACACATGACCCCGAATTCCGACAATCCGGTATCATGCGCGCAACAGTTTGCGGAAATCTTACAGGCAGCACGGACTCGGGCAGCAGACGCTATAAAAACAATCGAACATTTTCGCTAAACGTAGCGCAGACCGCCACCGCCGTTTCGTCACTTACCAGCCCGACGACCTTGTTCTTCTCAATACCCAGAACCTCCGCCTGTCCGTCACCCCAAAACTCCGCCCCCGACATTGTGGGCCATTTCGCATCAGCCACATGATTACCCCTGTCACCGCCCATCTCCTCCTCCTTGCTGACTGGTACGTCAGCCCGTCATTCCACGTCAGCGTGTTTCGCCCATACATCTCATCCACCAGCCAAATGCCTCGCAACCGCCCAGCCAGCATGACACGACCGCCAACAGAGTCAATCATTACGTCCGAAAAAATACTGAACCACCAAGTTTGTGACCCACGAGGGGCCCGCAGGGTCGAATTTCTGATCCGCTGGAAGGACTGCACACCGAGTGAAAACAAATGGGTACTCCTGGATAGAATTGAAAACCACCCCGTCCTCACCGACTATCTACGCAGCCGAATTTTTCGAGATGTACACGCCTCCTTTGGGGGGGGGGTATAAGGAATTCCTTTTCCTTACTTCGCATCTCTGCTCAGCGCGTACACCACTGTTCCCGCCAATAGTCCCCAACAGTGCACCGTTACCACTCGCGACACTCGCCTCGACCACTGTTCCCGCCACTGTTCACGACACGACCCAACCTCACGGCTCGGCGGGTAACACTCGCTCCGGACCTCCGCCTCGACAATTCCCGACCTCGGCGCTAGGCCCGTAGCGCACCCCATTTTCACACATTACCGTTACCACTCTAGCTTGGCTATATATTCTTCGCTCATGCCTTCGCTCAATGTAATGTTTCGCTTCGATAGTGCAACTCTAGCTCGCTCGCTCAATTGCACTCCTAACATAATTTCTTGTGGATTTGCGTTTAACGGATGATAGACGTTTTGCGTTGGAAAAGAGCCTGCTTGGTGGGTTGGAACGGTCGCCTCTCTGCTGCCGTCATGCACTCACTCACACACTATGGTTTTGTCTCGCGCCATCGCCATGCCTCGCGCTCCTCCACTCCCACCGACCCTCTTCGCCTCGCCGCTCGTCCCCAGCTTGGAGCGCCGTGTTCGCCGCGTGAGCCGGGCCACCTTAGCCGACCAGCGCTCGTGTATCCCTGCGCCATTCCGCCATTCCCCCATTCCCCCACTCCGCCATTGCCATTCCGGCATGCGGCACCAGGTGTGCATGCGCATTCCCCCACGGCGCCCGCACATGCTCCTCCCTGCTGTTCATCCCGCTGCGCCCGCGTGCAGCTCCCGTGGGGTGCGTGTTGCTGCGCGGCGTGTCTGGCTGCTGACGTTACCAGTCGCTCTGGTCCGATGGAGCCAGATCGACGGCACCGTCCCTTGCGGGTCGAGTGCTCGCGGGAGCAGCCCTGCGTGCACCAGCTTGAAGTGATTGTACGCCTACCGTGGGCCTCGCGCCGCACTACTGATAATCACCGCGTGTTTAAATGCGCGTGTGCTCCTTGCTCACTATGGACCCCAAAGGCCTTCCATTCTCGCGCCACCCATGGCGATCGCACGACCACGACTGCTCCGGATCGTCGCCATCGTCGTCGCTCTCGTCGCAACTGTCGCCGCTGCCGTCGCGCACGCTTCTGACGAAGGCCAGGCGTTCGACGCGCCTCTCCCATCAGATCAGCGCAGGGCGGCGCTGGAAAAGGCGGCGGGCGCGCAAATCAGCGGAGCGCTCCCCGTTTTCGGCGGAGGAAGCTGGCTTCCGCGCCCGCGCGGTGGCGGAAAGGGCGGAAAAGACGGAAACGGCGGGAAAGGCGGGCGCATCCGGGCGACGTGGGGGGTGCCTCTGCGGCTGCGCTCGGCATGGGGGAGCGCAAAGTTCCGCGCAAAGGCGCGGGACGCGTTGGGACGGCTGACTGGCGCGCAGGGGGTGGCGGTGACGGCGCAGGGGCGCGCGGAGCGACTGATGGTGGCGTGGGCGGGGCGGCGGGGGAGGGAGGGATGGCGGAAAGGCAAGGACGTGTGGACGCAAGTGGCACGCGACTGCGTCTCTCAGGTGCTCCATTATAAAGTTCTGCGTTACAGACACCACATCTTATTCAGGATGCTTGGGATCGATGGGCTTTGGGCGTATCTCAACCTCCCATGTCTCCACCATTGCATGCCCCCAATCCCGTGCTGCCAGTTGGCACTCGCCAAAGCCAGCATGGAGGAAGCAGCGGTGATCATCAACACGGGCGAGGGTGACGTGGCAGATGCGCGCGTCAGCCTATCGAGTGCTGCCACGTTGGCGGGCGACTGTCTGGACTCCTTCCGCACCTTCGCTGCTGATGGCGCCACCAGCGAGCCCGCCAGGGCCGTGCAGGTGGGCTCTTGTTCTCATTGCACGCACATGGGGGGAGGGGGGGCGGGCCAGCAGGTGGGCTCTTGTTCTCATTGCACGCACATGGGGGGAGGGGGGGCGGGCCAGCAGGTGGGCTCTTGTTCTCATTGCACGCACATGGGGGGAGGGGGGGCGGGCCGTGCAGGTGGGCTCTTGTTCTCATTGCACGCACATGGGGGGAGGGGGGGCGGGCCGTGCAGGTGGGCTCTTGTTCTCATTGCACGCACATGGGGGGAGGGGGGGCGGGCCGTGCAGGTGGGCTCTTGTTCTCATTGCACGCACATGGGGGGAGGGGGGGCGGGCCAGCAGGTGGGCTCTTGTTCTCATTGCACGCACATGGGGGGAGGGGGGGCGGGCCGTGCAGGTGGGCTCTTGTTCTCATTGCACGCACATGGGGGGAGGGGGGGCGGGCCGTGCAGGTGGGCTCTTGTTCTCATTGCACGCTCATGGGGGGAGGGGGGGCCTTGGGTTGCTGGGCGGGCGGGGATCTTGTGGGGAGAGGGGAGATAGGTACGGACGGCGGGGAGGCAGATGGGGTTGGTGGTGCATGCCGTGTGCTGTGTTCACTCCAGCCAGCACGGCCGTGCGGGTGGTCTTGGTTGCAGGCACCGGCGGTGCTGCAGGAGGGTCATTCCAACCCACTAGGGCTGACACTGCTCATGGCTGCCTGCTGCTGCCACACCCACCCATCATTGCTCACTCATGCTCCTAAGCACCTTGCTTCGTTCATGCTGCTCATCTACTCTGGAATGAGGATCCCCTCCTCCCCCGCTTGATCACTTCAAATCTCACCCAACCATCCCTGTCCATCCCTCCTCATCCCTACCCATCCTCTGCCCCTCTGTGTCCCACACCCCTACCGCTCCCCGGAGCAGCAAGCAGCGGCGCAGTTGAGGGGCGAGCTCATGGCGTTGCAGCAGCAGACGGCCGACATGGCCGCCATCGTCGCTGCCTCCTCGCCCCCCACGCTCGCCTCGCCTCCATTCTCCCCGGCACCCACTGCCAGCCCCCCGGGTGACAGCAGCCGTGCTAATGCCAGCCCGCCAAGCGATGCCGGTGGTGGCGCTGATGCTGCAAGCGGCGCCAGTGGCGATGGTGACACTGACGATGGTGGGGCCACTGAAAGTGGTGGTGCTGGCAATGCTACTGACGGTGACAGTGGGGGTGACGGTGCTGGCGCGGGTATCAGTGGCTTCACAGCTGCACGACTTGCCTCAGCTGCCACCACAGCAGCGCTGCGCTCACCCGTCAAGTCAAGAAAGCCCCCTGCCAGCAACGCCACCCGCCCCTCCGCCTCAGTTGCAGACGTCAACTCCACCGCCCCTGCTCCCCCAAGCCCTCCGCCCCCCCCCACTCCCGTGGCGCCCCTCCCCCCTTCGTCACCATCGCCTCCCTCCTCTCCTTCCAACCCCTCCCCCCTCGACCCCCTCTCCTCCTCGCCCCCCTCCGCAACTCTCCCCTCCTCTTCTCCTCCTCCGTTTCCTCCTCCTTCCCCCCCTCCATCTCCCCCTCCCTTCCCTCCTCCCTCTCCACCATCGCCCTTCTCCTCTCTGCCTCCTTCCCCACCTCCCTTTCTGTCCCCCTCCTCGCCCTTCCCCTCCCCGCCCCCCTCTTCTCCCTGGCCCGCCCCTCCTCCCCAGCTACTCCTCCCCTCTCTGCCCCCCCCGCCCCCATGCACCTCACCCGCCCCGTCCATCCCCGCGTGCTGCACCTGCACCTGCGCCTGTGCTCCCGTCCTGCCTCCCGCCTCCCCTCTAGCTTCTCCCCCTCCTCTCTCCACGTTGCCTCCCCTCCCTCCTCCTCCGTCTCCTCTCCCCCCACCTCAGTCTCCTCCGCCTGTCAATCTCCCTCCACCCTCTCCTCCTTCCCCTCCCCCTTCCCCTCCTTCCCCTCCCCCCTCCCCTCCTTCCCCTCCTTCCCCTCCCCTTTCCCCTCCTTCCACGCCCCCTTCTCCTCCTAACCCCCCTTCCTCCCCTCCCTCCCGCCCCCCCTCCCCTCCTTCCCCGCCCCCCTCTCCTCCCTCTCCCCCCCCTTCCCCTCCTCCTCGGCCCCCTTCCCCTCCCCCCCGTCCCCCATCCCCTCCTCCACGCCCCCCTCCTCCTTCCCCTCCCCCACGCCCCCCTCCCCAACCTCCTCGCCCCCCGTCCCCTCCTCCCCCTCCCCCATCCCCTCCACCCTCTCCTCCATCCCCCCCTCCGCGTCCCCCACCTCCCCCATCCCCTCCACCCTCTCCTCCGTCCCCCCCTCCGCGTCCTCCCCTTCCCCCTTCCCCACCCCCCTCTCCTCCGCCCACACCGCCCTCCCCGCCCCCATCCCCGCCCCCCCTGCCCCCCGCACCCCCCTCGCCCCCGTCACTGGCGTACCCCATGCCGCTGCGCTACGCGCTGCCACCGCCCAACGCCATCGTGGCCCGGGATGGCTCGGGCACCTTCACCTCCATCCAGGTGCGTGGGTGATTGGGGTCCTGCCTGTGTGTCACTTGCCCTGCCATCACCCCATATTCATTCGTTCTATGGCTCATGCTGTCTCCTGCATCATCTCCCTCCTTTACTTCCTTTCCCAACTCTTGAACGGTCCTTGAATGAATAGAAGCGGCAGAGTACAGATGTGCACGAAAGCACCTTTTGCAAAGCATGCAGAAACACAACGCAGCAGATAAAGTAGCCCACCTGCCAACCCCCTCTAAGGGAGCGCTAGTGCATGTTCTGAAATGGCCTTTCCCAATTCTCTCTCACCTCTTTCTCACCTCATCTCGTCCCCATCCCCTCCGTCCTCCATGCCCCACCCATCAACACCACCACACCACACTTCACGGGCAGCAGTGAACGCAGCACCGTCCACTCCAGGGGTTACTTCATAGTGTGCGTGGCACCGCCACAGTGCCAGTGACCATCCCCTTCTCACCTCGTCGCATCTCCTCCCTGCTCCCTGCATGCCCCGCCCACCACCACGGCACACCAGGCGGCAGTGGACGCAGCGCCGTCCACGCCCAGGGGGCGCTTCATAGTGTTTGTGGCGCCGGGCGTGTACCGCGAGACGGTGCGCGTCACGCGCAGGAACGTGACGCTGGTGGGGGCGACACCCGAGGCAACGGTGATCACGGGCAGTGCCAGCGTGGTGGGCGGCTCCACCACCTTCAACAGCGCCACTGTCGGTCAGTCTCTCACTCACCTACCTGTTGAGAAAGGGGGAAAGAGAGGGGGGGAGAGGCGGGGGGAGGGAGTGCAATGGGTGTGCAGGGGCCATGCGTGGGGCATGGGGTGTGGGCATTGCCATGACGTGCGAGTGCCCACCTCACACCGTTCCTTTCTTTCAAGCGACTTGCCCCCTTTGCCCTGCCCACCTCCCTGCTATCCGCCCCTCATCGCGCTCCCTCTCCCCCGCGCCTTCTCCCTTTCCCTTGCGTGGCAGCCATCACGGGGGCGGGCTTCCTGGCGGTGGGGGTGCGGTTTGAGAACACGGCCGGCCCGGAGAACCACCAGGCGGTGGCGCTGAGGGTCACGGCGGACAACTGCGCCTTCTTCGACTGCCACTTCATCGGCTGGCAGGTGTGTGTGTGTGTGTCACCATCCACCCCACTCACTGCGTCCGCCTTCCCTTTCCTCTCCCTCACCAATGCCGCCTGCCCGCAGCTGGTCAAAATGCTAGCTGCCGCTCTGCTCCATTTGTATTTTCTCTTTTAACTTGAATTCCCGCATCCCCTCGGCCCCGGTCCCCCTCATCCCATCTCTGCTCCCCAGGACACGCTGTACGCGCACAGTGGGCGGCAGTACTACCGCAACTGTGTGGTGAACGGGTCGGTGGACTTCATATTCGGCAACGGCGCCACCGTGCTCGACAACTGCACGCTGCAGCTCCGCCCACAGCCCAACGCCGTGGTAACCGCATCGGGGCGTGCCAACTCCACGGAGCCCACGGGCATCGTGATCGTGAACTCACGTGTGGAGGGTGACGTGGCGCAGGCGCAGTTCCTGGGGCGGCCGTGGAGGCCGTTCGCACGTGTGCTGTACAGCAACACCGCCATTGGCTCCTCTGTGAGTGAGATGCCCTGCTGCCCTGCCACACTGCCAGCATGCCCCGCCCGCACTGCGTGTGGTTTGGATCTTGCGTTTGCATGACATGTCTGTTGCCCTGCAGATTAACTCCAATGGCTGGATGGACTGGGGAGGCACCGTGTATGACACGACAACGTTTGTCGAGTTCAATAACTCGGGACCTGGCTCGGTGGGATCACGCATTGCTTGGGCAAAGCCAGGAATTGTGAACGATCCATCACTTGTGGCTCAATATTCCCCGGATGTGTTCCTTTACCCATTCGCTCCGATACTTGGGCTCATTCCTTGGATGTGATAATAGGCATTCCAGGCGTGAGTGCCATGAACCGTTTGTTGTGCATGGTTAGATGTGGCTATTTATAATTTTGTGTAGTATGTAGGAACCCTCCTGTATATAGTCTAATGAATTTTGTTGTAACATACCTGAGGAATATATGATTCCCGCCAAGTTTTGACCATTGTTCGGACGCGGGCCGTGTCGCACGACGAAAGGGAGCCAACTCGGCGTTGATTGGTCAGCAGCACCTACCAGAGTGTGTTTGTGTGGCTGGAAGCAAGGCTACTTCACTTCCCTTGAGTCCTTCCACTTCAAACCAAACCGAACCCAGCAACTGGGAAATTCGTCTGGACAGAAATCTGTCAGAAAGGGTTACGGGACTCGGCGATGCCGACTGCGTGGCCCGGAGGTTTGAAGGGAAGATTTGTTCGATTCGGGGACATGTCCGATGGCATGGTTGGGTGGGAATGGTTTGGATTGGGGGTGGTTGGTATGGGACGAGATGAACTGCACAGATTCCATCTCAACGAATCACTTCCAGGGCATCTCACCGTCGAGGGTATGATGCGATGTGCCCCCCACACAGGCAGTCTCGCTCTGCGCTTTGCACACACCCTCTCACCACCAAACCAGCACTCACCGCCCACCGACCATCGCACTCAGCCAAGCAAGCGGGCGGGAAGAACTCGCTGATAAACCAAAACAGTCACCTTGAAACCTCCTTTTTTATCGTGGTGGCCATTTTCCAAGCTACTAGGTGACACAGAATTTGTCTTCCAGCAATAGCTGCAATTCGACGCGTTGCTCGGACGTGGCCACACTGGGACAGGCCGGGCAACCGCAGGGCTGATCGGCAATGCCTAGGTTATGCTTAGAACGCTAGGCAGGCAACGTTCAGTCAGGACGAACCCGAGCCGAGACGAGGAACGATCAGCAGGTTTACAGATACGCTCGGACTCGGGTGAATTTCAGCGCGGCTAGAAAGCGGCATCGCCATGGTCGTCATCCATGAGTAGTACGCCGTTTGAACTGTCAACCGTTAGCGTATTGGTTTTCAAGTAGTAAGCCGGTTGAGTAGTGAATGTTTCGATAAGTGAGCGTTGAGTAATTTAGCGTTGAGTAGCCAGCCGTTTTGACGAATATCTTGCAGAATCTCTTAACAAAATTCAATATCTACTATCTTATGTTATTGATAGGAAAGGAGGCCGTCAGTCTGCATACGCGGTCCTTCGAAGCTGGTTCAGCTCGGTCATTTGCTTTGTCAAGGATCGGATTTCTGCCTTGTCAAACAATGTTACTCACCCATCCCTCGTGTCTGCGTCCCCTCCCTCTCGTATCGCCGTGCTGCAGTCAAATTCCGTTGCCGCTGTCCGCAGAGGAGGTGAGCGTTGACTTGGGGTGTGCGTTGACTTGAGGTGTGCGTTGACTTGGGGTGAGCATTGATTTTGGGTGAGCGTTGGCTTGACGCGAGCGTTGATTCAGCGTGAGCGTTGACTTAGGATGTGCGTTGACTTGGAATGTGCGTTGACTTGGAATGTGCGTTGTCTTGGGATGTGCGTTGAATTGGGATGTGCATAGACTTGGGGAGAGCATTGCTTTGATACAAGAATCTTTCCGGCGACAGTCCTCGGGTGGTCAGCACCATGGGCCCCCTCTATCGCCGTGGGTCACTGTTGCACGCGTGCTAAATCGCAGCAGCCGGGTTCGACTGTGCGCGGCTCAGCTGCCACCGCGCTGTTCGATTTGCCTCTGCGTCGCCATGCATCCGCCGCGGGCCCCGTCGAAACAGCTCCCGCCACCGACGCACCTTCCGCTCCTTGCACCTCTCCCGCTCCCCATGCCCTCCCGCACCCCCCTCTCCATCCCTTCCTCCACCAACCCCCCGACTCCCCTCCCTCCCCTCCCCACCCCCCCACACCCCCACCCCACCCTCCTCGTCCGTCACCGCCTCTGCTCGCCCCGCTGCCTGCCACCTGTCCCCACCTCCTAGTGCCTCTCCGCCCCCTCTGCGCGCTTGAATCACCGCCCTTGCAGTCCGCCCCCCCGTCGCGTCCGCGTGGCACGTGAGCAATCTCAGTTGGCCTGCTTGCCATTCGCCGTGAAGCCCCCACCCCACGGCAGTGCCGCGCTGTTCCTCGCTCTCAGATCGCGCTCCCCTCCTCATTCTTTTGTTCCCGCCTTGCTGCCGCTCTCACCCTGCAATCACTGAAGCAACGCCACCACCACAACCATGAATATTACCATCACCATCACTGTCACCATCACTGTCACAATCACTGTCAACATCAATGCCATTCACTCTCACCTCCTTTTCCACCACCGTCATAGCCATGCGAGTGCATCATTGCTGCTCCCAGGGGGCCGTCTCGTGAATTGCCCAAACTTATTGTTATACCACCGTCTGCCCTGCCCCTTGACCCTTTCTCTTCACATCGCGAGTATAACAACGGTACCGCATAGCACAGCTGTATACAGTCACCACGTCCACCAATGTAACCCCCCCTTCTTTCTCCGGCTCCCCCAACAGTACCACATAGCGCAGCTTTGCATGATCAAAGTTGAGCGACGTAACTTCTGTCTCAGAACCCCACATCTCCTCCCCACCCCTCCCTCCCCCACCTATCCACCCTCCCTCACATGACGGCAGCACCGCATGGCGCAGCGGTACATGATCGCCACTCATTCGTCTTATTCCACGCCCCCCCCTTCCCCACCCCCCACCCCCCCCATTCCCCACTCACCCTTCTCAACCCACCAGTACCGCATAGCACAGCTGTACATGATAGCCAAGTTCAGCGAGCACCACTCGTCGGACAACAGCGACGGCGACGGCGTGGAGGTGCTGCGCAACGAGCCCTTCCAGGAGGAGGGGCGGCAGGGGCAGTACACGCACAAGATCTACCACCTCGCCAAGTGAGTGAGTGGGCAGTACACGCACAAGATCTACCACCTCGCCAAGTGAGTGAGTGGGCAGTACACACACAAGATCTACCACCTCGCCAAGTGAGTGAGTGGGCAGTACATGCACAAGATCTACCACCTCGCCAAGTGAGTGAGTGGGCAGTACACGCACAAGATCTACCACCTCGCCAAGTGAGTGAGTGGGCAGTACACGCTCGAGATCTACCACCTCGCCAAGTGAGTGAGTGGGCAGTACACGCACAAGATCTACCACCTCGCCAAGTGAGTGAGTGGGCAGTACACGCACAAGATCTACCACCTCGCCAAGTGAGTGAGTGGGCAGTACACGCACAAGATCTACCACCTCGCCAAGTGAGTGAGTGGGCAGTACACGCACAAAGTCTACCACCTCGCCAAGTGAGTGAGTGGGCAGTACACGCACAAGATCTACCACCTCGCCAAGTGAGTGAGTGGGCAGTACACGCACAAGATCTACCACCTCGCCAAGTGAGTGAGTGGGTAGTACACGCACAAGATCTACCACCTCGCCAAGTGAGTGAGTGGGCAGTACACGCACAAGATCTACCACCTCGCCAAGTGAGTGAGTGGGCAGTACACGCACAAGATCTACCACCTCGCCAAGTGAGTGAGTGGGCAGTACACGCACAAGATCTACCACCTCGCCAAGTGAGTGAGTGGGCAGTACACGCTCAAGATCTACCACCTCGCCAAGTGAGTGAGTGGGCAGTACACGCACAAGATCTACCACCTCGTCAAGTGAGGAGTGGGCAGTACACGCACAAGATCTACCACCTCGCCAAGTGAGTGAGTGGGCAGTACACGCTCGAGATCTACCACCTCGCCAAGTGAGTGAGTGGGCAGTACACGCTCGAGATCTACCACCTCGCCAAGTGAGTGAGTGGGCAGTACACGCACAAGATCTACCACCTCGCCAAGTGAGTGAGTGGGCAGTACACGCACAAGATCTACCACCTCGCCAAGTGAGTGAGTGGGCAGTACACGCTCGAGATCTACCACCTCGCCAAGTGAGTGAGTGGGCAGTACACGCACAAGATCTACCACCTCGCCATGTGAGTGAGTGGGCAGTACACGCACAAGATCTACCACCTCGCCAAGTGAGTGAGTGGGCAGTACACGCACAAGATCTACCACCTCGCCAAGTGAGTGAGTGGGCAGTACACGCACAAAGTCTACCACCTCGCCAAGTGAGTGAGTGGGCAGTACACGCACAAGATCTACCACCTCGCCAAGTGAGTGAGTGGGCAGTACACGCACAAGATCTACCACCTCGCCAAGTGAGTGAGTGGGTAGTACACGCACAAGATCTACCACCTCGCCAAGTGAGTGAGTGGGCAGTACACGCACAAGATCTACCACCTCGCCAAGTGAGAGAGTGGGCAGTACACGCACAAGATCTACCACCTCGCCAAGTGAGTGAGTGGGCAGTACACGCACAAGATCTACCACCTCGCCAAGTGAGTGAGTGGGCAGTACACGCACAAGATCTACCACCTCGCCAAGTGAGTGAGTGGGCAGTACACGCTCAAGATCTACCACCTCGCCAAGTGAGTGAGTGGGCAGTACACGCACAAGATCTACCACCTCGCCAAGTGAGTGAGTGGGCAGTACACGCTCGAGATCTACCACCTCGCCAAGTGAGTGAGTGGGCAGTACACGCACAAGATCTACCACCTCGCCAAGTGAGTGAGTGGGCAGTACACGCACAAGATCTACCACCTCGCCAAGTGAGTGAGTGGGCAGTACACGCACAAGATCTACCACCTCGCCAAGTGAGTGAGTGGGCAGTACACGCACAAAGTCTACCACCTCGCCAAGTGAGTGAGTGGGCAGTACACGCACAAGA